ATTGGTTCATATTTATAGTTTCAATTTTTTTATTTCCGATTTTCAGGAAAAAGTAGATGTTTAGTAAGTCAGTTTTGCCCCCAAAGTGTACTCTCTCTCTCTCTCAAAAAAAAAAAAATTCACTTATTAAAAACAAGACCCTGCAGTTTGAAATATTGCTGTTAGAATTCATTTTGTGCTAAGCCAAAGACAGCTATTAAAATACAACTGTATCTCCTTAGAATTAGGTTCTAGTTATAGGTTTTATGCTAGGAAAAGACTCTTTAAATGTGGCTAAAATACAATTAGATATTTATTTCTCTTATGTAAATTAAGGCTAAGGGTGACACCTGAGAGCTTGTATGGTGACTCCACCATTATTAGGGACTCAAGTCCATCCAAGTGTCTGCTCCGTCATGTCAGGGGTCACATAAATATAGTCTGGTCCACGATGGCTGCTGGAGCGCCAGCCATCACATCCATGATTTAAGCATCAGAATGAAGGAAAGAGGACCAGATTGTGGACATGTCTTACACAATTCTGCAAAGGAGCCTGCAGACTTGTAGCTGAGAAATCATGTGCCCAGATAAAAATTGGGGCTCTCTTAATTTGAGGAAGTTGGGCAAAATAATGACTGGTGGGAAACCAGGTGTCTCTGCCAGACTGTGGGAGGGATATTACCTCATCAGTCATAAGCCTTGGTGTGAATAAGTCTATCAGCTCCTTTTTGAAAGTAGGGTTTCAAAAGTAAGGAAGACTGGCAAGCAGATGAGGACACCAGGCAGGGGAGAATGGAGCCTGCTGAGTGGGGTGGATGGAGGATATTAAAGACAAACCTCCTCTATTTTATAATTTTGCTCAGAGCTAGCACCAGCTCAACTCCATCTTTCTTATTTATTCATTTGTCCATTTAAAGAATTTGGATTCTATACTAACAGGGAAGGGGTCATGCATCATTTACATTTATTTTGTTTCAAAAGACTAAATTTGTTGTTGTTTTTTTTTTAAAGATTTTATTCATCCGACAGAGAGAGAGAGACACAGCAAGAGAGGGAACACAAGCAGGGCGAGTGGGAGAGGGAGAAGCAGGCTTCCCGCTGAGCAGGGAGCCCGATGTGGGGCTCAATCCCAGGACCCTGGGATCATGACCTGAGCCGAAGGCAGACACTTAACGACTGAGCCACCCAGGCGCCCCAAGACTAAATTTGTTTTTAAAAGATTTAATCCTTTGGTTGTGCTCTTCCCCACCCCCACTCTTTTTTGATAGGGAAACACCTCCTAATGCCAAGATGGGTTTGGATGTCCATGGTTGTTATATTCGTCTTTGTGAGTGTCTCTCCCTTCTCGTGAAGCCCAAAGGGCATGGAAAAATGGCATCATATTGATAAAATGTGATGCCTTCCAAGACATTCTTTAAATATCCTGTGTGCCAATATGGTCAAAATGAAGAATTCAGACCAACTGGAGTGAACCTTTCTCCACGGTTGCTTGGGGTAGAGCTGGCTGGCTTTGCAAAGTAGTTCTCTTTATGAACTCGCAACATTGCTTTATGATGTGTTTGCATGGCAAGCCAATTTCTTAAGTGATTTAACTACACGTATTTAGTATTTTCCAGTACTTGTGCTTATAGAACTAACATATGGGGAGAGCCTCTGACCGGGCTAGGCCTTGCCAGAATCACGGGTGGAAAGAAACATCGCAAGGTTCTCCATTCAAAACTGCGGTTGCCCAAAATTTCACTTCTTCCGGCTACCTCATCTTTTATATTTTGATAACTTTACACACAGTAAGGCAGCGAGTTCAGAAGGACATTGAAGGAGGAAAGAGATGGTGGAAAAAACGATGAAGATACAATTAGGAGTCTGATGATGCTCTCATGTTTGCTGCAGAGAAAATATCAATAGCAGAAAAATGCTTATGTGCATGAAGATCCATCCCTAATCAGACCGGGGAAGGGGCTGCAAAGGGAGCAGCCATCTGGCCTCTTGGGGCGGCCTTCGCTTTCACCCTGCGTTCGTTATACCACCCCAGGGCCCCCCGGCCCGTCCCCACCCCTAGAGATGTTGGTGCGATCAGGAAAAGGATCCGTGTTGCACATGCTGCAGAGGCACAAGGTCCTCGAGAAAACCACTTCCGGCAAAATAAAAAATGAGCCCTGTTGCTTCGGGGAAAAAAATGCTGCCTCCCGTATCCCCAGTCTCTCTCTGTCCTGCTTTTTCTATCTCAGAGGCTTGTCTCCACCTGCGCCCTGTTCTCCTCCCTTTCACCTCTTCCTCCTCCTCAAGGGCCACACAAAGGCCGGAGGGACCTTGGTTACCTTCCCGTGAGACCTGTGAATCGTACATTAAAACCGGGATAAAAACTAAAGGGAAGAAGCTCTGTTGGTGGAATTTGCGGCAGAATGAATCATGGAAAGAGCTGACTCCTGGAGCCAAAGAGAGCTGGGATTGGTCCCCAGTTCTGCCATTTAAAAACGGACCGTCTTGATGGACTCTGAAAAACAAACAGGGTTCTAGAGGGGAGGGAGGGGGATGGGTTAGCCTGGTGATGGGTATTTAGGAGGGCACGGTCTGCGTGGAGCACTGGGTGTTATACGCAAACAATGAATCATGGAACACTGCTTCCAAAACTAAGGATGTAATGTATGGTGATTAACATAACAATAAAAAATTTAAAAAAAAAACGGACCGTCTTCTGACTCATAGTGTCTTCACTTACAAAACGGAAACAATCATACCTGCCTTCATTTGAGAATTAATTGAAACTGTGTATATAACAAATCAGTACCATATCTGATGCACAGTTGTTCAGTAACTATTAGTCTTCTTACCTGATCCTAAGGGAGATAGGAGTTGCTGGGGCAGGTTATGGGGCCTCCCCAGTATTCTGATCAGCTGGGAGCAGTGTGTGTGTGTGTGTGTGTGTGTGTGTGTGTGTGTGTGTGTGTGTGTGTTTACGAGAGAGAGAGAGAGAGAGAGAAACTGTGAGCAAGTTTAGGGGAAGTAAGGTTATTTAATTGCATTGATTTTTCCTGTCTTAAGGCCTTTCGTTTTCTGCAGCTTCCGTGTATGAAGGAAAATGGGAAAGGAAAATAAGGATCCTTGGTAAACAAGATGCCAGAACAAAAGAAGCAGAGTGGTTTGGGGGTTATTTCCCCCATGTGCTGATAAAAACCTAATGAAATCATTTTCCTAGATTCCTTGTGTTTTTTAGATCCACTTTCTCTTTCAGATGGTGCCAGTCAGGTGACACACTTTGTTTCTGTGAGCTTCATTTTCTGTGCTGGCTATCCTGGGGCCAATGCATTCTTTTGTCACATGTGTTAATATCACTGTCTTAGGATCTGTCAGAATGAAGAATCGCTTGCTTTTCTGTGCCAGAGCTGATCCCATAGTCTCATTTGCAAAGATTCAGACCTTCCTTGGCACCAAAATACGGGAACGAGGCATAAGTCTTACAGCTCTTTTGGTCTTTGTGATATTACCAGCAGGCAGTCCCTGTGCCGCCTGAACTCAGGGGTCTGCTGTGGTCCGCAGGGTCCAGCCTCAGGTCAGGCGCTGCTCCCTTTGTGATGGGGGGCCGGTGATACAGAGCCTCGCATCCAGACGGAATCCCCCTTCAGGAAATGAAGGAGGCCCAAAGACGTCTGACAGTAATCTTTCTTGGGCCTTAGACAATAATCTTTACCCTGGGTGAAATCGACTTATGCCTCGCCCCATGGTAAAAACTCCTTAGCCTCCTGCCCAGGATGAGATTTTACCAACCCGCCCTTCCGGCTTGTCTGAGAAAATCATGAGCCATGTTTTTACAAAAATTATTTTGAAGATAGATAATATCTATCATAACATCTAGTATAAAATATAATTATATATGATTAAATACATTAATAACCTATTGATAATTAAAATAACTTAAATTTAAAATAATTTAAAATAATAGATTATAAATATAATATAATACAATAATACAACAATATATAATATATAAATATAAAGTATATTTATAGATAACAGATGTTATCTATATTATCTATCTTCCATATTATAGTTACTTCCATATATATATTATATATAATAATATGTAATATGTAACTATAATATATAAATAGATAATACTTATCTAATTGTATATTATCTATCTTATCTAATATTTAACTAGTATCTATACTGATAAGGAATTAAGCACAATAGCCATATAAAGAACATCAAGCAAAATCTGAGCATCTTCATCCCCGGGAATATCTACAGATAATTTACCAAGAAGGGTATAGGCCAGGGTTGCATTCTTGGCTTGACATCCATGGCCCCAATTTATTCACACTCCATTCCCATAGTAAAGAAAAGTGGATACATGGTAGGTTATAAGAAGTTTACCCCCTCTGCGGGTTTTCCTGATAATACTCATAATATTCACTATTGAATTCCTTCTGCAGGGGTTCTTAAACTTAGGCTAATGGGCATTCATTAAGTGTGGCCTATTACTATATCTCGAATAAAATATATATCAGGACCAAAGATATTCGATCAACTGTTTCAATAAAATTAGCTTCACTTTTGCCTTTAAAACCATAGGCTTCAGAGAAACTGTCAAAAGGATCCATGGCACTAAAAAACTAAGAATCCCTAAGGGAGTGGAAAAGGTCTTTGTCTATTCTCTGCAGTTTCATTAATTTAATTGTCACAGGTCTTAGTTCTGTCTTCCGTGGTCTCACCACCATGCCTCTGCTGGTTTGTGCTGTGCGTGTCTCTAATATACTGTAATTGCTGATCTTTCTTTGCTCAGAACACTCCTTTCAATACAGTGATAGTGCAATTCGTAGCGGAAATTTTCTTCAAATTTATTTCAACATTTACTGGACAAATCTTATGTGCTAGTTACTATCTAGCCAAAGAGGATACTAGGTTAAAAAAAAAAAAATTACTGCTCTTTATCAACTTACAATCTAAGAGGGGTGTGTGTGTGTGTGTGTATGTGTGTGTGTGTGTGTGTAATGAGTTCTTGATTTATGTTTCCCCCACAGATCTTGGAGGCATCTGAGGTTTAATGAGGACTTTCCGGCATTCCAGACCGCTGCCCTGCAATGAAGCTCTGAGTCACGGTCCTTGAGTCTAAGGAGTTGGCAACAGTGTGGAACCCCAGGACAGCCAACCTGACAAACCTTCACTCCGAGCAGAATCCCAAAATGATTCTGGCCTGAAATCAGAGCAAGCCTACAGAAAAACTTGCTCCTTAATGGAAACAGGAAAGGAGAGAAGGGTTTGCAACAAATTGCAACAGAGTTTCCACCATTCCAAAGAGCCCACCTTCCTTATCAAACAGGCCATTCTACATGATGACTCCCGTTCTAGCCTTTTGCCGGACACAGAGCATGTTAGTCTTGCTAGAAAAATAAGGATAGGACCTCAGAAAACGAGACCCGGAACGGTGATGCTCTCAAAACAGTCCAGTAGGAGAATTATGTCAGGAAGTCAGCCCAGCCCCCCCGTGATCCCCTCCCGCAGGCCTGGATTCCGGGTGTGCTATATCTGTGGCCGAGAATTTGGGTCCCAGTCAATTGCCATTCATGAACCCCAGTGCTTGGAGAAGTGGCGGGTTGAAAACAGCAAGTTGCCCAAGCGCCTGAGGAGGCCAGAACCCTCCAAGCCACAGCCTCTCAGGGGCAGTGGGTCCTCCAATCTGCAGGCAGTGAACGAGGCAGCGCTCCAGAGTTCCCGGTCTCAGCTGCTGCCCTGCGATGCCTGTGGCCGCACATTCTTACCGGATCGGCTACCTGTTCACCAGAGAAGCTGCAAGCCCAAGGGCGAAGGGCCCAGAGCACCAACCCCCAACAGTTCTGACGGTTGTACTGGTCCCAGGAAGGCTGCTGGGGGCATCCCAGCCCGACCAAAGACTCTCATCTGCTACATTTGTGGTAGGGAGTTTGGCACTCTGTCCCTTCCCATTCATGAGCCCAAATGCCTGGAAAAGTGGAAAATAGAAAATGACCGGCTCCCCAGGGAGCTCCGCCGACCACTCCCACAGAGGCCTCAGCCACTTCCCACTGGGCAGTCCAACCAAGAGGGGCCAAGTCAAGCTCAGCGGGAGCCCTGTCCAAACTGCGGCCGGACCTTTGCCCCAGACCGCCTTCTGGTACACCAGAGAAGCTGTAAAGCTCAACCTCGTGGGCCAAAAATTCAGAATTTGACCTTAGGGAGTAAAGGTGACCTAAAAGAGTCCACTAATTCCAAGCAGCAAAGGAACATGGCAGCACCCATGGTGACTGATAAGGTAATTCATGCCACGTGAGACGCATTGTGTCGACCCATGGGTACTTTGCAACCCCCCCCTTCCCCGGGGGAATGAGAGAAAACTATCCCCAGAATCAGCTGCCTCAACCCCTAGGTTGGTTTCTTTCAATGCCTTATGTCTGCCTCAGTGCATCCTGCCCAAGCTGACCGCTGTCGGACCCTGTATCTCGGTCGGCCAAGTCGATATAAGAACATCCCTGCCTGGTGGGTCTATAGTCCTTTTACACTCTGCCGCCTAAAAGAAAGAGAGATGGACGTCCTTCCCTGATTCCTCATCCCAGGAATCCTTGGGAGAGACTGTTCTTTGGAAAATGAGTCATTAATGCTGTGTCTACATTGCAGAGATATAATTCCCATTCCAACAGCCAATATTTATTACCGGTTTATTTTAGTCATCTACCTTAGGAATTCATTTTTGGCAACACCGGGTTATGCTGAGTTTATCTTACTAAAATAGAATCTGTGTCAAAAACCCCAAATGACTTTAGCAACAATTAGGCGCTGAAGCACTCACAGAAATAGACGCACTCCTCAAAGACAGCATGTTTTCTTTTAACACTTCTGTGATTCTGATACGTGGGCGATTAACCCCAGGGCGCACTCCCAAAGCGACGGGGTGTGGGTCCGTGGTTCCGGGAAGTGCTCAGTTCCCACTGCTGCTCAGTGGCCTGTGTTTGGGCTGGACAGCAGGCTCTGCTCCCCACTCGGGCACTTGGGAATAAGCATGACGCCATGGGTCCCCGACCTGTATGGTGAAGTATCGTTTACCTGAAGGTTCACCATCAGCCACAACTGGGGAAGAACGCTTATCGAGGGTGGCTCCCCACAAGACGTGGTCCGTGTGCTTTGTCCTGCCATTAAGCCCGGGTTAATCTTTTCTATGGTTTGCTACCCAAAGCCCCCCACCTGTAGGGAATAGTTCTTTTTTTTTTAAATAGGCTCCACACGCACTGTGGGGCTCCAACTCATGAGCCCAAGATCAAGAGTCACATTCTTTACTGACTGAGACAGCCAGGCACCCCTGTTTTCTAATGGACTGCTTGGGGGAAACTGAGGTTACCCAAGCTATTCTAAAAGATTAAACCAGAAGGACTGGGGGTTGGGGGGGCGGGAAGCAGCCTTTATTTTTACTGCAACTTTTCTTCCTTACTTTTTTATTGCATTACATTGGCAACCTTCTAGTACTTTTTCCTCACTTTCATGTTTAAAATGAAATGATTAGAAACTTACTGGTTTAGTAGATTCCAAGACCATGATCATAAAGCCCAAGAGTCAGACTAAGAGAGGCTGGGCAAGTTTTCCGATGAACATTGAAGAAAGAATAGCTAGTTTCTGTGCCGAAATCAAAACCCACACTCTTAAGTGTGGCATGAGCGAAAGGCTGGTCTCCTACACATGATCTGTTTTTCCCATCTCCTGCCTGTTGCTTTTCTTCCAAAATGTGTGGGGTCTGGATTCAGAGATCACAAGAATCCGTGTCTCGGGGTCACAAATCAGCGAGTCCGTTAGCTCTCTGACTCGCAGCCCTGTTTTCCTGAGTGTATGCATTTGCTTCACATGTTCTCAGCACAGATCTCGAGACAGGGAAGAGTGTGGTCAGGGTTCCTGTGCTTGTTGTTGTAACACATACTTTGTGCCAACAGGCTGAGCACAGCGTGTTCTTACTCAGTCACGACTGCTCAGAGGCTGGCCTGGGCCCATGGCTTCACAGGAAGACACCTCCTGACTCAGCCAGTCGTCTGGAGGGGAGATGTCAGAAGAAGAGGTCACAGCAATGGCCCTCGGTGACTGGGGAGTTTAGATCAAAGTGGGGCCTGTCCGTCAGAACAAGGGCATCTAGAGGACGTGGCTCTGTAACAGCGCCACCAACCCTGCTCCCGGACCCAAGGAGGCGCGTGTCCGCGGGTAGTTGGCGCTCACAGCTGTTAGACGTGTGCTGGCCCGGTTTGGGGACCACACAGGCTTTCGTGAAGGGCATAGGAAGGTCATCCAACATAGGATCCCTTTCACTGCCAGACTTAAAGCAAGCTTGCATGACTTAAAATGGAGAAAACTGGTAGACTTCAGGGAGACAGAGGTTCTCTTGAAGCAATGGACTTGACTTCCCTAGAAGAGACATTTGCCATTCCACGGTGCCTTTCAGCCGGCAATGTCTCCCGGGCGGTGTGGTTTTCTCTGTCAGTTACAATTTGATCCATTGCTGTTTTTCTTTCTTTGTGTCAATTGAAATTTAGATAGCACCATTTCTTTGTATCGTTCAAAATTGAGATATTATGGGAAACCATCCATTTCCCATGAAAATCACTGCCTTGTGCACGATTAGACTTTAATATTTATCTGCCAGTGACAGCCGACTTTTGGTTATGACACACACGCGTTCTTGTCACACTTCAGATGTGCGCTGCTTCTCTTGTCAGTCAGAATCTAGAATCCTGGGTCTGACTTCAGATCAGCATCAGAGCTCGCCTGATGCTCTCGGAGGGCTCAATCTTGTAGCAAATTCAGGTGAGGAAGAATATTTTCAGCACCGTGATCATGGTGCTTGGAAAACAATTCGCTCTAGTTGGGCAACAATGACTGTTTCGCTGGCAGAGGGAAATACGCCTCTGCTCAGAATGTTCCTCCAACATAGACTGGCTCAGTTCTCTTATGACACAGGGGTGCTGTTACCCTTCAATCAAATCTAAACACAAATAAATACCGCCTGAGATGAGTTCTTCTCCAAGACTTCCGCGGGCATTTTGCTTTAGCTCTTGCTTGGCCCACTGACCACCATATGCGCTTGAATTGTGCCGTTGCTTCTCTTCCAGAATACAGGGCTGAATTTACCCTTTCTGATCTCACAGGCAAGCTCTGAAGGATGCTAAGCAGTATGGAGCAGACAATAAAACCCTGAGTGAGGATCCTTATTTCAAAGGTGTGACGGCCCTGGGGCCGCCGCATCTGCATTAGATGGTTTTGTGAGCTGAGTCACACTTTGTCTCTTTCCTCCCAAAAAAATGGAAAGCCTGCATAAACAATCTCCACCGTAGCAAGATTTTAAAAGTGGTGATAAGCCCAGATGAAATGTTGATGCATAGCATGGAAACCCATAGATTATCCCTTTAAATGTTAATATTGCATTTATTTAATCTATTACATTTTAGTCTATTTAGTAAGCCTACTGTCTATTTTACTAAGCAATTTCCTAAGTGATGCTGAGGGGTACAGTAATAGAGGTCATTATTGCTCCTTATTTTAATACGAGTGGATAAATTTTAGTGCTTGCATCTTAATTTGGGAAAAAATGTTGCCCTTTTCTAGAACCCGATCATCTTTCATTCTTTGATTTCAGGCCCTTTCTGGCTAATTGGAACACAGATCAGCAGTTAATGAAATGTAACTACAAACCAAAATGAAACCTTGGTCTCATTATCTTTTATTGGTTAGGTAATGCTTGGGGTTATTTTCTTAGAATTTTGCTTGTAACACGTGAAACATTGTTCCTAAAAATCCCCTACTATATTACAAAATAGGTGTTCTTTAGGGAAATCATCTTTTTTCTGTAAATGATTCTCTCTGAATTGAGTTTTAAGCTACGTTTGGCATCCTAGATGTTTAGGTTTGAACTAAAATCCCATCGGACACATCGTAAGCATCTGGTGCTGCCATCTGGCGTTTTCTTTTAAAGTCAGGTCTCTATGCTGTCAAAAATACTGTTCTTCTTGTGTTACCTCCAAATATATTTGAGAAGGTGCCCTTATAATACAGACTGCAGTTATTTAGAGATTCAGTTATATATTTGGTTTAACATTATGAATGCTGTTCCATGACTAAGTATTCTCATTCTCTAAAGGCAAAACTCTCAGTGGGCATGTCACAATCAGAAAGACTCAGGAGGGGCAGGATGCATGTTGTCACCTTGTCAAATGTGTGTGCACGTTTGCATCTACTGGGTTAGAAGCATTTGGAATTTATATGAAAGCATGGAAGAAAGAAAACTGACTTTTTATTAAGTACCTTTATGATCAGCCCTATATATGCATGATCTCCTTTGAGTATTACCATAACACAGATATGATTTTCCCATTTTCCATCTGGGGAGACTGAGGTGAAGCATCCTGCCCAAAGTCACACAGTGGGTTTGGTAGTGGGTGTCAGAGCCAGATCTAATTCCAAAGACCTTATCTTTTCAAATCTAAGAGACATGGCATGCGTGTGATACAAAAAGGGTGGAAGTGTTAAGTACGACAGAGGACAGAAGTGTGTTTATTCAGCAAATATTTATTGTTAGGCAGTGGACTGAGTCCTAAATATAGAGTCATAAAAAAGGCACAGTTCTTGATCTCATGGAGTTTTTATTCTTATGGAGGAAATAAATGCAGAATTCCAAATTGTGGCCTGCCAGACTTGAATACTACTGCCTTAGATGTCAATTATTTAAATGCTATGAACAAAATCTATTCGTCTTTTTTACAATTTTCTAATAAATGCAGGACTAAATAAAAAAAAAAAAGGATTCCAAATTGTGATATGACAGTGTCTAATGATGGGAGGTTGACATTCCAATAATCTTGGTTAGAGAAGTCCTCTGGGAGGAAGTGATATTTCAGCTGCTACATGACAAGTAAGAAAGAATTAGCCAAGAGTAAAGATGTGGGACGGAAGAGAATAGTAAGAGGAAGAGACATTCTGGCCAAAGGTCAAGTGGCCAGAGCCTGATGAAGGACGTGACAGGCACAGAAGATGAGGCTGTAGAAACAGTATGGTCCCCGAAGCTGCCCAGTGAACATAGGTCATCAGCTGTGTGGCTCTTGCAGGGATCCATCTGAGAGCAGATGAAAGCTTGGCCAAGGTCATTGATAACGAAGATGGAGATAAGGTATAATAGACAGAATCCGGTGGCAGTTGGGATGTTGGAGGTGTTGAGAAAGGGCCGAGCATGGCTCCCAGACTTCTGGCTTGAGTAAGTGCTCTGGTGCCATTTTCTAAGATGAGAAG